ACAAATCATCTACTTCCATTATACCTCAGAGGGATAGGCACAGGATATACATACCCATTCAAAAGGGAGGAATAGGCAAGTCAAAAGAATTAACGGTCCTATAGCAAGTGCAAAATCTATCAGGGTAGACATTGCATCTATTTTTTTAAAATAATTTTTAGTTGTCAATGGACCTTTATTTTATTCATTTATAAGCAGTGCTGATAATCAAACCCAGTGCCTCACAAATGCTAGGCAAGTGCTCTACCACTGAGCCTCAGCCCTAGTCCCCAGACATTATCTTAAAGCTCCAACTCTGGCATTCTGTACACCAGGTGGAAGAGGAGGCCACGTGAGGCAGCTCTGCCCCGTGGCTTTGCTGCTTGCAGAGCAAGTGGCTGCTCTGTGGTGTAAACCTGTGGCTTCTTCAGGCTGCCATTGCACACTGCTGGTGGCTATACCTTCCTGGATCTCAAAAAGCAGCGGTCCCATTCCCATGCTCCACGGGACATTCTAGTGGAGAATCTCTGCAATGGCTCCATGCCTGCACAGACTTTCCTTTGAAATCTCGGCATCTCAAGAAACTGTCATAGCATAGCTCTTGATCCTGCGCACATTCAGGATCAGCACCTTGTGCACACCAGGGTCTGCACCTGGGATCCCTTCAGAGTGGTGGCACCAGCTGTGCCTACACCTGTTTGAACCACAGCTGGAGTGGCCGAGGAGTGCTTTGTTGGAAAACAGGGAGCAGAATCCCGAGGGGGGCCTGGGCAGCAAGCCATGGAAAGCTCCCCTGGCCTGTTCACTGAGTGGGTTCTGCCCTTCTAGGCTTCTTGGCTGTGATGGAAGAGGTAGCCTGACAGACATGTCAGATGCCCTCCAGTCCTCCTTCCCATTGTCCTGATGAGGAGCAGCTGGATGGCTCCCTTCTATCTGCTAATCCCTCAGCAAGCAGACGCAGGGCCTCTCCCTTACCTGTTTTTTCTTTGTTCGTTCCCTAGCAAAGCTGCAAAGTTTTCATATATTTTCATTCTGCTTCCCTTTGAATTTCACCTTCCTCCTTCTGGTCACACTCTTGCTCCTGATGCTCACAGTTCAAAGTAACCAAGCAGCAGCATCAATGCTTTGTTATTTAGATATTTCCTCTGTCAGAAATCCCACTTCATCACTTTTAAATCTGGCTGTCAATAAAGTTCCTGGGTGTGGACACAGTTCTGTCAAATTCTTTGCAATGTTGTGACAAGAGAGACTTTCACTTCAATTTCCAAAGGAATATTCCTCATTTCCATCAGCAATCTGTTATGACCACTTATCCAAAGCTAAATATTCTAGCTCTTCCCTAGTCACCTGGTCTTCCTCTGAATCCTCCCCACAAACAGCCATTATGCTCCATTTACAGGGTTCTAAAAATTTTCTAGCCTGCCTCTCCAAATTCTTCCAATGTCTTACCACTAACTAGCTCCAAAGCCACATCCACATTTTGGGGTATTCATTTTAGCAACAGCCCCACTTCTCAGTACCAATTTTCTGTATTAACCTGTTTTCCCTTGCTATAATGGAACACCTGAGGCGAGGTGCTGCAGTTGGAATGTTGAATGTTCCCCAAGGCCCATGTGGTAAAGGCTGGGTTCCTAGGGTGATGCTGTTGGGAGGTGGCAGAACCCTCAAGAGAAGGGGCCTAGTGGAGACCTAAAGGTAGTATTCAGATTCCTGGGGGCATGCCCTCAAAGGGGATTGTGGGAACCTGACTTCTTTTCTTTTGCTTCCTGGCGGTGAGGTGAGCAGTCTTCCCTACCACATACTTCTGGTCATCACCATCAGCACCTCGACAGAGGCCCAAAACAATAGGTTTACCAGTTTTTAGACTGGAACCTCCCAAACCATGAGCCAAAATAAACATTTCTTCTTCACAATATAAATTAACTATCCCAAGTATTGTGTTATAATAACTGAAAGCTGACTAACACACCAGGTAATGTATAAAGAAAAAACATTTACTTAGCTCACAGTTTTGGAGCCTGAAAGTCCAGGATCAGGCTGCCATGTTGATTTGTCCTCTGGCTACATCTCATCATGGTGATGGCATCATGGTGAGATCATGTGCAAGAGGGAGATATGATATGGCAAGGAGGAAGCCAGAGAGTGGGGAAGGGCCAGTTACTCTAATAACCTTGTGTGAGGACCTATGAGAACTACTTTAATTCCTTCTAAGAGTAGTACCTCCAATTACCCAATCACCTTGCATGAGGCTGTACCACCAAAAGTCACCACCACCTCACAATACCACTGCTGCACTGAGGACCAAGTGTCCAGCATATGGGGAACACATTCAAATTACATCCAAACCTTAGCAAATTTTAAGGGAACAACAAATGAGCCATCAGAGAAAATTACAAGCAGAGACCTCAGATGGGGTTTAAAGGGAAAACATGCTAACCTTTTTCAAGAAGAAAAAGTATTTGTTCATAATGTATTTATAATAAAGTTTGTGATGCTTGCAGCCAATACATAGTCTCAAATGTCACTCAGAATCAATCATTAGCAATAACACCAACATTATCCTGATCAACACATGTAGCAAGGCTTATTTAGCCACTAGAACAAATGCTACTCTAGATTTCTCTTAAGCTTAAAAATAAGTCTAGAAATGCTAACTTTTATGATATATACGTGTATGTATATGTATGTGTGTGGGTATGTGTATATATATATACATATATATATTCTCCATGATAAAAGATAAGTCTAAAAAGATGTTTCACAAGTAATTTAACTGCTAGTCAAAATGAAAGTCAATACAAAAGGCTGACCACAAAATACAGATTAACATTTCAATGACCAGCATTCGATGAAAGATTAATAAACATGCAAAGCAGTGAATGTGACTATAATCAGAAGTAAAATCAGCAATAGAAAAAGATTCAAAATTATAAAAATGAGGACTTTAAAAGAGCAATTATAAATATGCTCAAGATTTTAAAAAATAAACATTATGGGGCTGGGGTTGTGGCTCAGTGGTAGAGTGCTCACCTAGCATGCTTGAGGGACTGAGTTTGATCCTCCACACCACATAAATGCAAAATAAACATATTGTGTCCACTTAAAAACTAAAAAATAAATATTTTTTAAAAGTAAACATAATGAAAAGACAAAGAAAATTGTACATAGGAACAGAAAGAAATTTCTAGAGCTGAAATATATGATATCTGATGTGAAAAATGTACTGAATCAGCTTAAAAGAGAGTAGATCATACAGAAAACAACATGAGTAAACTTGAAGACAGTGCAATAGAAACTGTCAAACTGAAGCACAGAGAGAGAAGGAATCTGAAAATAGGGCCTTGAGACTTGTGGGACAATATCAGAAGAGAGCAGAGCAGAAAAAAGTGGAGAAATGATGCCAAATCTCCAAACTGCATGAAAACTATAAACTCACAAGTTCAAAGAAACTTGAGCAGAAACAAAACAAAACAAAACCCATTGAGTTTTATACAATCAGTGTCAGATTTGGCCATCAGGTTACTAGAGCAACCTGTAATCTGGAAGACCAACTGTCCTTCCTGCCAACTGGGACTCAGGATGGAACAAGCACTAGACTCTTTGTCTAAAGAAGGGAGTTGTGCAACTGGTCACACCTCACAGGAAGAAAAATGCTTCTAATACAGTTGTCTACCCTTCCCAGGGCTTGGGGACCAAGGGCTCTGCCAGGTTAGAATCGCCAGGTTTGAATTGTAACTCCAACACTCAATATCTGTGTGACCTAATACATCACATCTTTGAATCTCAATTTCTTCACTTCTAAAATGGGAACATGAGCACCACTTTTATAATATTGCTAGAAGAATTCAGTGTGTTTAAGTATTAAGTAGAAAGCATAATGGGTATTAGGCAATATTTTTATTTTACATGACGTTACCCAAAGCACATAATAATTAAGAATAGCTATTGAGCTTTCACTACATATCGTATACTGAGCTAAGGGTTCATAAGTAGTATGATATTTAATCTGCATAACAAATCCTCAAAGTATTTATCACTGATTTAGAGTTCAGCTCTCACAGAGATTAAGTGACCTGTTCATATTTACACAGCTTGTGGAAGAGAAAAGATTTAGGCCCAGGAGTAGGCTGGGTCTTTCATGAGATCATATATTTATTCAGTTCATATGTGTTATGTACTTTACTACTCCTAGCTACCACAAAAAAACGGCATCCCACAGAGATACAGACTATATCTCAGTGTACACTTGGTGCTGGAACTGTACCTTCTTGGCTTATAAAGAGGTTTTCTCAGAAGCGTTAAACAAGCATACACCCACATTCATAATATATTGATCTACACTTCGTTCTTTTCCTAAAATCTCCACATATGTTGTTGCTTTTCCTGGCAAACAGGAGAGATGAGGCTTCACAAGCCTTCTCTGTAGACAGCTGCCTCTGCTGAGGAGGGAGGTGGAGCCGCAGAGCCTGTCTTCCCTCACAGGACCCATCACGACCCAGGCTCTGGGAGATGCTGCACTTTTTCAAATAAATCCTCTCATTTATTCCCCAAAGTACTGTAAGATGTTGTTATTATCATCATCCATCTCACAGATGAGAAAATTCAGGCATGTAGAATTTCCCTCTGGGAGGGCCCAGATTAAGTAGTTCTCCTTGGGTGGCTGGGTGGGGATTTAGATCTAGGTAGCCTTTGAGGCCTGAGTTTTGGTTATTGGAATTTCTGTTTTTTTTCTGGGTGAGCAAAGATGAATTTCCCTAAATTCAATGCTCACTGGAAACAAGTGCATCCCATGTCATCAACTCCAGGTCCCACTGTCTCACAGTCTCAGGGGCATCTCCTGGTCAGGCCAAAGACCCTGACCTCCCTGTGGGCAGGGTCTGTGTATTTCACCTGTGTGCTTAGGGTGCACACAGCAGGAACTCAGTCAATGTTTGGGCAAGGAAAGAAGAAACTCAAGAGGAAAGGAAGGAGGTGTAAGAAAGGGAAAGACGGGGACTTACAGCTGTGGAAGAGGGTCTCACCTTCTGCAGCTTCTTTCTTTCAGCCTCCACGGACGATCGAACAGCTTTGATTTCCACCGTGTGCTTCTTCACCATGTCTTCCAGGCGCTTCACCAGCTGGTCTTTGAGGTGTTTCTTCTCCTCTTCAGTCTGATGTTTGATTTTACGAAGGTCCTCTTCATATCGCTGCTTCACATATTCTGTCTCAACACTTGCTTCTCTCTTGGTCTATTGAAAGAAATGGGACTTTGCGCAATTATCCAGGGAATTATCACTTCTCTTTCATGCAACTCTTGCAACATTTAAATATGCATATATTTAAGAAAGGGAATAAATTTTACAAAACTAGATATTTGTCAGACTTCACTTTGTCAATATTGGAGAGGGCCTCTTTGGAAGGGTGTATCTTTTGCAAATGGGATTAGATGTTCCAGTCCATACTACAGCAGCTTCAAAAGAATGCTTGTTTGTTTTGATTGGGAATATGGAGTAGAATCCTAAACAGTTTTCAGTTTCCCAGAAGCTGGCATAAAAGCTGGGAAAATACTACTACATGTACCAGTGTCCTACTTCCAAATGACAAGGGGTTGACAGAAAGCTGGCTAAAACTCCATTCTTGTTTCTTCTACTCTTGAAATCATGGATGTGATGATTCCAGGTGGTTGGGGAATGACTTCTACCTGAAATGCATGCCAGCAAACCCTCCTGTGACTTTCCCCTCCAGTGGGGTTCAGACACTACCTGTGTATCTGTGCTTCCTTTGGTGCAGGGACATTCCTTGGGGCAGTTTTGATCCTGCTGAGGGTGTAGACTGTGGACCTCCAAGTCATTCACTTCCCCCAGAACTTCATTCTCAGGCTTCATGTCATCTGCAAGCATGAGTTTCAACATCATCTGGGATGCTCTAGACTTTGGCCTTGTGTCCAGGACAGGTCCCGCATTCTGCTATTCAATCATTTTGGTGACTACTCCTCTACTTAATCCTTGCTCTGTGCTTTGCTCATAAACCCAGTGATTCTCATCTTTGCTCAAGCAGCATGCTGAGCTTAATTAATTGCTATGCTTTCCCTTCCTAAACCAGTAATCTGATTTTTTTATTGCACTTTTTATTAGTTAAAAATATTGAGCATGTTCCCCAACATAGGTACATTCAATGAGAACTTAAAGGATGAGAAAAAAATAATTATAATAACAACTGCTAACTTTTCCCTCCCCTGTTCCCTGAGGTGCTCATGCCCTATATTTGAGCATCTCTGTTCTAAACCTTCAGCACTCTTCTGGTTCTAACTTGTGTATCTTCCTTCTCACATTTCAGCCTGCGGTAATTTCTTCTATTCAGACACCTTATTCCCCTGCTCCCTGGGTCACGCCCTTGATGCCATGGGCTGTGGTGTAACATTCCCATAAACTCCTGAAGGCAGAGCCCATGTTTTGTGCCTGTTATCAAGCTGGTCAAGCTGCAGGTATTCAGGAACTTTTTGGTGAGAGAGCCTAATGAAAGGCACTTGGAGTCAAATATTCTTAGCTACACATACCTGCTTTATTATCGAACATTTGGCTGACCTTGAATTAGCTACTTATCCTTTCTCAGCCTCATTTTTTTTTCATCTGCAATATGAAAGAATGGAAAACTTATCTTACAAAGTTATTGGGAAGACACAATAATGTAATTTATGAAATGATGTTCAAAGTACAAAGTCCTGTCTAAACATGGAGGGGGAAGCCTGCGCCAAGAAGGGCAGGCACTCAGATGGGTCAGATGGGGAACTATTTGGAGGCAAAGGGTCTTTTCACATTACAACTTTTAGGTGTCTGGCTTGTGCCAGCTCCAGGTGAAGCAGCTCTAGGTGTCAGCTCAGCCTAACTCTAGGTGTCACCTGTGCCCTGCAGGGAGTAGACTCACTCACCTGAAAAGCCAGATGAAACAGCCCTGCCCCTCCCCTCTGCTCCCTCAGCAGTCTCATGGCTGCCAGAAGAACCAGGCTGACCTGGTAGTTAACTGCCAATCTTTAAGGAACTTGTTCCAGGGCATCTCACCAGTTTTCTGTGGCACATGACACTCCTGTAGCATCAGTCTGTCTTTGGCAACTGTCAGCTTCTCCCCAAGTTTTTTTGCAGTGCTCTTCAGCTCTGAGTTCTCCTGGCGAGCCTCCCTCAGCTGCACATCCAGGTCCTAAACAGACAGTATGGGTCTCAGTTCTGTATAAAGACACGCTCTGGGTGCAGGACAGTTAACAGATCTGAAAGGTGGGTAAGTGCACGCAGGAGCCCTGAGTCTCTGGAATTAGTGGCTTAGGGTTCATCAAATGCCTACTCATCCTCTGACTGGCTGTTAGTTAATCTTTTTCTAGTAAGGATTAAATGAGATTAAGCGTCTGGTACAGAAGAAAATGCTCAGGAAGTATTAGAAATATTAGTGACTGCTACTTCTTAAAAATGGGGCTCTGCGCTTTTGTAGGGCTCACCAGCTGACTCATCAATGGAACACAAATGTACTGAGGATTTTAGGAGACTCCCATTGTTATGGAATAAACCCAGGCTTTAGAGTTAGGTTGTCCTGAGTTCAAAAACGTTCACTGCATGTTCAGGGAGGCCAGTCTTTAAACTTCTCAATTTCATTCTTGTTTTCTTCATCTGTAACCTGAAAGTCTTTAAGTTCTCAGAGCTGAAGGACTAAGTCTAGCTCATCATGCATCCTTCGCCCATAGCCCTGGGCCCAGCACCCAGTAGGTGTTTAATAAATAATGTGCTGAATGAACTTGATAGAGATAACCGTGCTCACTCTGGTAGAAATCAAGTACCCAGCACAGTGCCTTACACACAGTAGGTGTACAACATCGGCAGCCTATTAGCCCTGGGGGGGTATGAAGAGAGGCCACTTTACCTGAATCCTTTCCTTCAGCTTCTGGGCATACTTCTTCAGGTCACTTATCTTGCGACCCCTGTGCTCCAGGTCCCCTTCCAGCTTCCTGACCTGGGCCTGCAGGGCCGACTCCTGGACCTGGAAGTTCTTGCGGAGGTCGGCCTCCTTCTCCTGCCACTGCCACAGGGCCTCGCTCACCGACTGCTGCATGGCCTGGCGGATGGCCTCGTTCTCCCGCTCGTAGGTGGCCTGCAGCTCCTCAGCCTTGCAGGCGTAGTCCTGGCTCAGCTGCTGGTTCTCCGCTCGCAGCCGCTCCACCTCCAGCAGCACCTCCTGCATCCCGGCGTCCGGGCCGGGCTCGGCCTTGGCCTCGGGGCTCTCCTGGGATCGCCGGCTCCACTGGGGGCCCTCTTGGCTTGTCAGGTGCCGGAGCCGCTTCTCGTAGTCGGCCTTGAGCTCCAGCATCTCCTTGGACAGCGTCAGGACGCGCTCCGCGTGCTCGGCCTCCACCCGCAGCTCCCGCTCTCTGGTCTCCACCTTGCAGGTGGCCGACTCGGCCTGCGCCTCCTGAGTCAGCCTCTTCTGCAGCTCCAGGGCGCTCTCCAGGGCCTGGATGCGCTGCAGAAGGGCCTCCTCGTCGTCGCTGTTCCTGCCCTGTTCCTGCAGGACCCTCGCCTTGGTCTGGGCCACCGCGCCCTCCAGCTCCTCCTGGTGCGCTTCCCGCAGCGCCTCCAGGCTCGCCTCCGCCTCATCCTGGCGGGTGTTGAGGGCATAAATGACCTGCAAGAAAGTCAGCAGAGCCCAGTTAGGACAAGGGAGCTGGGTGAGTGGGAGGGCGGCTGTGGCCATAGACGCTGTTCCTCCACACTGGGGACTGAGGTAGAATGGCACAAGCAGGGCCTGGGAAGATTTGGGTGGCTGCCGCTTATTGAAAACTGTAGAGAGCTGGGAAGTGGCACAGGGAGGTGGTGGAAGCCAAGTTCTCTGAGAGGGTAATCCACAGGGGACTTTGAGAGGACAGCAGGAATCTAGGGGAGTTTTAAAGCAGAGGGGTGATGTGATCTTCTTTGTTCCAAAGGAACACTTAGGAATGCAAAACACCAACAACACCTTAGAAAACCCAGCCCAAAGTATTCTCCACAGGTACAGGAAGAAGATTGGAGAAAACTCCACATGGAGGGACCCTCCTGAGCCTGACAGAACGTATCTTTGAAAAATCCAGTTGGCATCACACCTCTCCCCCCTCATCGAAAGACTTTGCCCAGACCAGGAACCAGAAAAGGATGTTGGCCCTTTCTACTTCTAAAACAAAAGGGGAAAAGTACTCTTTGCCAAGCGGAGAATGGGATGAAGGAAGCCAGGAACACAGCGGGAAGCCCAGATCCAGGATGATTCCCAGGATGTTGGCTCCAGCAACAGGTAGCTGTTTACTGAGATGGGAAAGACTAGGTGGAATAGATATGGAGAAGAAAATCAAGGATTCTCTTTGGATGTATTAAATTTGAAATGCCTCTAGACATCCCAGTGAAGAAGGCACCAGAGCAAGTGTGTACATTGGTTCCCTTGGGTGTTTAAAATGCTGTCCTGTGCCACAGTCATTCACATTGATTTACCTTTAGCCTTGATTGGTGGCTGGTGTTTCCTTATTCATGAGTCTGTCTACTAGACTATAATGTCATTGTCAGATTTCTACTAGGGACTCTGGATCCTCGTGGCCCTGAGTTCCTTGGAGGTTACAGGCCATTTCAGGAGCCTGGTGGAAACTAAGCAGGTGAGAACCCCCTCTTCAAGCAGAGGAGGATAGCATTTGCACTGGGGATTCTCCAACATGTAGTTTGGAATAAAAACAAAATTTTCTGTTACTTTCTTAAAAAGTTGAAAGTGATGTGTGTGTGTGTGTGTGTGTGTGTGTGTGTGTGTGCATGTATAAAATTAATATTCTTAAATATTCAGAGAAGTTCAGTAAAAGGTCATAAATAAGAAGGTGTGATTAACCCAAAGCACACCTGCATGTATAAAATGAATATTTAAGAAGACCAAAGAGCACCACCAGAGGTGACATGTGTTATAGATTTAACAATACTTTATTTCGAGACTGCAGTGCTTGAAGGAAGAGTAACATACACCCAGGAAACAGCCTAATGTCTTATTTTCCATTGTCTCCATGTGATGTAGCTCTTGGTTTATTGTGTGTCTTCCACAACAGAATGTAAGCTCTATGAGAGAGGAGCTTGGTCTTCGCTGTTCATCACTCTTGGTCCCCAGTGTCAAGGTGGACACTCCAAAAGATTTAAATGGGGAAGGAAAAGGGTAGATGAAGGAATCAGAACTCCATCTTGAAACTTTCAAGGTGTAAGATGAGCTTGGCATCTTATGAGGCCTTGGGAGAATAAGCACTAGATAAAGAATCATGAATTTGACGTCTTCCATGCAGGGACCAGGGAAACTAGCCTCTTTGCCCTCCCAGGAAGACACCACAATGAAATGAAGTTTCATCTCTAGAACTCCTCTGCATCACTCTGTGCACGGAATTCAGCCAACTTCTGGTGTTTTCTATGGCTTCCCAGTGATTACCATCCAAGAGCGTGTCTGGAGCTAAGTGAATGTTGAATTTAGTACCATGTTATAGTTCGTATTAATAATAAATACCATTTTTATAGAATCTATCATGTGCCTTGTACAGGGACAGAAACCATATATCCACTCATGATTTCAGAAAATTCCTATGGCAACTCTGTAATTTAATGTTTTTCTTCCTGTTCTAAGAATGAGAATTGCAGTTTCAGAGAAGTTCAGTAAAAGGTCATCAATAAGAAGGTGTGATTAACCCAAAGCACATGCTCACCACACAGGGTCTCACTGCATCTTGCTGCCTCATTCAGTCATTTATTTATTCATGAGTTCACTGTACATCTTGAATGGGCCAAGTTCTGTGCTGGTTATTGGAGGTAATTGCTGCTCAATAAGACAATTAGATTTGTGACCTCAAAAATACAATTCAGGGTTTTGGTTGTGGCTCAGTGGTAGAGTGCTTGCCTCACGTATGTGAGGCACTGGGTTCGATCCTCAGCACCACATAAAAAAATAAGTAAACAAAATAAAGTTATTGTGTCCATCTACAAATAAAGATATTTTTAAAAATACAATTCAGGACTGGGGTTGTGGTTCAGTGGTAGAGTGCATGCCTACCGTGCGTGAGGCACTGGATTCAATCTTCAGTACCACATAAAAATAAATAAATAAAATAAAGGTATTGTGTCCATATATAACTAAAAATATTTTTAAAAATACAATTCAGTGAGACAGACTAGAAAATGGAAAGTTTAAATGCTTTCTTATAAATGCTCTGAGAGGATTCAGCACCAGTTACTATGGAAACACAGAGGAAAGGTCTGGTAGGAGAGAAGAGTTACTGGAAAAAGCAAGCCTTCCCCCTTCTTCATTTGGGTGGTCAATCCCATTTTGTCTGTCAGTTGCTGCTTAGGTAAGAACAATAGCACTTCTGCATGTTGCTCCATAATACTTGATATGAAATTGAATGCACAGTATGTTCATATTAAGTATCTATAATGGGATTGTTGCAAGTTATCATAGTTGCTGCAGGTCTCAGACATTGAGCAGAAACCACATTCCTAGCCCCCTGCATTAAGCAGGACCATAGCCTAACAGTTGCCAATTGAATTCAGGTGGATGGATTAATTCGTGTTATCTTGGGTTAAGACATTAAGGTTAAGAAGGATGTGTATCCTTCACACAGCCTCTTTACCTATCTCAGACAATGGAGAGGACTTAGAGGAAGATTAAATTCAAGATGGGGAAGGCATCTGAGCCCTGAATACTCAGTAGGGCTGCCCTCTACTGGGAGGACCTGAGCCAGATATAAATTACCATGCTGAGACTCTGACTTGCTGTTATCTGTTACCACATCTGTTAGTTACCCCCAACATGTTGGCGGTCCACAAGACTACCCTAGGCTTTGTGACTCACTAGAGGAATCACAAGATTCAGCACATAGTCATACATATGGCTATGATTTATTATAGCAAAGGACACAAAGCAAAATCAGCTAAGGGTAAGAGTGCATGGAGTGGAATCTGGACGGCAAGCCAGGGGTAAGTGTTATGGGCCTGGCCATTTGGGCAATGCAAACAGGCTTCATTTTACCCTGAGACTCCATGTCATGTAAGAAATGCTTCTCCCATGGGAACACTCCGGCTCTGTACCTATCAACAGTTGCGTAGCATAGCATGTTTGGCAACACAAAATGGCAATTCTTATACAATGTAAAGTTGTTCTATATTTGGTTCCCATTTTTCTTGGGCAATGTACCCTGTCAGAGATTGATTGTCTAGACGTTAGTAACAATTCTTTAACTTGTACTCAAGTAGAGTCATTTTGAGACCCACTTCCCTTCTGCTTGCTTGCTGCTATGCCAACCTGGAAAGTCTTGTGGGAAATACCAATGTACCCATTACATTGTTTCGCTAACTGCTCAATTCAGCTTCTGTACCTCTGCTTGCTTGCTGCTTCACCAACCTGGATGTGGTTTTTGCAGGTTTTGCCTTTAAAGACCCTGAAATGCTCAGGCTAGGTGCTGTTCCTTGCAGTTAAGGGTTCTGTGGGGAGCAGTCTCTGGCCAGGCTGGCTAAATAAAGTGTCTCTCCGATTTGGAGAAAGTGGACTTGGTATGTTTTCTGAGCGGTCTGCCCTATAATAGTAAACTTCCATTTCAATGGAATTAATTCACCTATGAAGGAGTTGCAACAGTGCCAGAAGCCATCCATGACCCATATGTGAACTGTGCGTGAACTAAAACGATGTCGAAGCCATTAGGCAGGAAAGCCTGATACTGGGAACTCCTAACAGCAACCCTGCTGGTTTGAGAATACCGGGTTCATGTGGCTTCCTATCCAGCTCCACCACAAGTTCAGCACAGCATCAGAGATGGGCAGCCAGCTGGAGCCCACAGCCTCTTAGAGTTGGGTGTGGCAGAAAGAAAGAAGGTGCTTAGCACAAACCATGTTTTTTGAACATTTTAGGCATAGTGAGCAACCCTTGTTAGTTTGAGTAGTGGGATTCCTCTGTAAATTGAATAATTTCCCAGATGCTAACTGAGGGCCAACCTTATAAGCAACCTGTTCTAAAATTCCCTATTCCTTTGTCCTCATAGAAGTGATTTCAATTCTGTACCATGTTTCTTGAGACCCTGACTCTAATTCTTGGCCCACTCCTATACTCCTAGGATTAATTATTGTTTCTTGCTTTTTGTAGCAGAAATGATTAAGAGCTTGGGTTACAGAGTGGAGTACAGGCTTCTTTATCTCCTAGCTGGAGATTTTAGGCAGGTGATTCAAACTTGGTGGAGCCCAGTTCTTTGTCTTTAAAATGGGAGTAACAATAGCATCAACCTTCTAGGATTGAACTGAGAGCTAAATAAGGTAATGCACAGGAATATCTTCTATCCAGTGCCTATATAATGAACACCACCTCCTATCCTATCCTAACCTACCCTATCCAGAAAGAAAAGATTTGAGACACTTAATTGTGGGTTGGCAAAAAGCCAGAGTATTTGGTAGCATTTAGTCTATTGTAGGATCAGAATCCAGGCTGCTGTGGTTAAGAGAAAATGGAATTTAGGGAAGGGGTGATCATAAGGGAAGAAGGACAGAGGGAGTAGATGGCTAGATGGGCAAACAAGACCAAAGTGGGAGTAGGAGTAGGGGGGAAGACTGAGATGAGAGAAAGGCCAATGAAAAGAGTTCAGAAGAAAGAAGAAGATA